TCTTAATATGTATTCTAGGGTCGGAAAATTTTTCAAGACTTTTCCATCGTAATTATAACTACTGTGGCGGATAGCTATAATTCAACGCAAGATATTTGACAGATGCCTGTATCTCGCTTACTACATTATCATGATAAGCTTTGTATACAAGTTCCGAACAACAACATTCGGATTGTCGGTCTACCGAGCAATATCACCGTCGCTATTTATTTTTTTAAATGACTTCAATCTCGCCTTTTGATTGCGTCCACAAATCGCGAAAATCAAAGAGAATATACCTACTAAATTTCAATCGTCAGTACGATCGCATTAGTTGAGCGTTCATAATTTAATTTAGTTATACCAGCTATCAATTTGTAGTCCAAGTCAGAGACGTAAAGAAAAACAAAAAAAAAAAACTACCAAAGCAGAAACGCTTATGTTTTAAAATTCTCTTTCGTCAGTACACCGCGAGCGAAGCCGGAGCTCCTCCGAGACGAGGCTATGATTTTTATTTTTACGACACGTACGAAAATCACCGAGGCCCTTGAATATATTATTATTGTTATGGCAACACCGAAGTCTGGGAAAAAAATATATATATCGTGAAATACGTCGCGGTGCGCTCTCGTCGCTAGAATTATGTTCCCTTACGTGTATCATTAGGGAATTTCGGTTCCTGCATGAACCGACGAATGAATATTTTATCGGCTTGTTTTCCTTTAAGTCACATGAAAAATTACTTGTCTCGTTCCGTAGAGGATCGTTTGTTTTTATAAAACGGGTACTGTGAATATTTCATTGTTTAATCATTGAGTAAAAATACAGAGAAGAGTTACAGTGGATCTTTACGCTGCTTGCATAAAGCGCTTGCATGCATTTACTGGTGGTAGGACCTCCTGTGAGTCCGCACGGGTAGGTACCACCACCCTGCCCATTTCTGCCGTGAAGCGGTAATGCGTTTCGGTTTGAAGGGTGGGGCAGCCGTTGTAACTATACTGAGACCTTAGAATTCATATCTCAAGGTGGGTGGCGGCATTTGCGTTGTAGATGTCTACGGGCTCCAGTAACCACTTAAGACCAGGTGGGCTGTGAGCTCGTCCACCAATCTAAGCGATAAAAAAATTAAATAAAAAAAAAAAAAAAAAAGTTAAACTCTTCAATCTGGATTAGATATTGTGATTAAATCGCCACACTAATAATCATCCAATAGACTATTGTTATTGTAGTTAAAATACGCACTGCCTTAACATTTAGTGATATAAGTCGTTGGTGAAATTAAAAAAGGAAGGTTTCCGATCCGGATTTCTTCAGGGCTTCAGCTCAATGAGAATCAAGACATTATTCAAGAGTTTCCGGCGAGCCGTTCGAACGTTCCCGCGGTGCCGTAGCGCGACTATTTACATATTCTCATTCCGCCGCCCCATAGATTTAGGTGCCAACAAATAGATTGTTCCTTCTCCGTGAAGCGAAACAAAATTTATAGTTGCGAAATACGCGCGGTTTTATTTTTCGATTTTTTTTTTGGACCAGCTCTTGCAGGGTTGACGACGTAGATAGATAGATGTCCATTCTCTGTGATTTTAGGCGATGTGACGTGATTGATTAAGAAAACTAGTCCCAAAAATAATTAGCGTAATAGTGGTAAATAGTGACCCGTAGTTTGTAATGTTTTTTAGAGACCAGTTGAATTAATTTAAACACAAAAATAGTTTTAAATGATACGCTAATTCATTCCCAACGTTTGTCTGTCGGTACCAGGAGAACATAACGATCGACAGCCCTATTTACTTTTTCGATTCTCGATTTATCGCAAACTTATACAGGGATATAATCGTGATTTTAATGCGCTCGCGAGATTTACAGCGGTCGGACGATCGCAGCCGGATTGCTTTCGAGAAATTTGATAACTCTATACTGTTTATGACGCCCTCGTGCATACGCCGTGAGGGAAACCGCGTTTTGCTTGTAAATAAATATCCCTTTCGTGGATGTATCTTCACGACCACCTGCAATGCGAAGGATAAGCAGTTTTATCGTAATTTACATAACAATATTAGAGTAATTCCCAAATAATGTGAAAACTAGCTTTAGCCCGCGACTTCGTCCACGTGGAATAGTTCACAAATAATGCTTTATTTTAGAACAAATTTGGTTAGCATAAAAAACGTTATAGTGAGCCAACCTTAACATATAGACATATACTGTCGCAGACTTTTTTTTAGATCTTTTAAAGGGGAACAATTCTGTCATACATTATTTTAGCAAAACTTTAACCGTTTCTGCAGCGCATGCAGCGGCAGCTCTCCAAACGAAAAAATAACCCCGATTTTGAAACATTCTTTATTGGTGCTCCGCTTGTATTGGTCTTACCGTGATGGTATATGGCCTATAGCTTTCCTCGATAAATTCCCTATCTAACACTGAAATAATTTTTCAAATCGGATCAGTAGTTCCTGAGATTAGCGCGTTCAAACAAACAAACTCTTCTTCAGCTTTAAAATATTAGTATAGATAACAAAATAAATTGTTATAAAGAAAGAATTGATAATTCTTTAATCTGGCTTACCGCTTCTCGTAAAAGGCAACTGTATATATTGTGAAGAAAAAGTCCACAAACGGGTCGAGTCTTGCGCGGCGGTCAAATACCTTTGTCATTCAATAAAAATGAACTAAACAGCGCAACGACGGGTCCCGTTATACAGAAAATCAAAGATGTTTCTCGTGTTTTTGCCTACGCCGTTAATAAGCTTCATAAATTTTCGATATATATATATAAAACTTAACTCTTTTTGGAGGTCGCAAAAAACGCACGTCGGATAACGAAAAAGCTGAATTGCATTATCGATAAAATGTATTTGATTTCTCGTTTCTTATGCGTTTTTGTGTGTCTGATTGATATGAACGAAGACGGCGAACGTTTATGGATGAATTGATGTATGTTTTAGTATACATGAGGCCATTCGATTTCTGATTAATTCCTTTTGAAAATTGTCTCAACTGCCCGCCGATGGATGTAAACGCCGCGCTCCGGTCATGAGCTAGAAGTCTCAATTTCGCTGGGGTAAAGGCTTGCTAAGCGGCAGAAACAGTCTAGTGGGTCATATTGTACCCGTACCGAGATCCCAGGCCGATTTTGTTTGATTGACGCTTTGAGCAATCAGTAGATAATTAAGCCAAGACACAATTTTGTCTTCTGTTAATCGATTTTGTTTTTATAGAATTTTATAGAGAAAAAGTAATCTATAAGATTAGTAAAAACCTTAAGATGTCAATGATAATTTATAACCTAAATTAACATATAATATTATGGTAAATAACGTGACTAGGACAATACCAGGTAGGTATATCTGCTTTGATAAATACGACAGTGAAATCGACTTACAATTTGTGGACCACAAACTGATTTCTATTTGGAAATAATGCGATCAAAACCGCGGGGTACATTTAGCATCATATGAAGTTTGCCAATTTCGGACACCTCTTTCAAAGCTTTCTTCATAGAGATAAACAGTTTACAAATGTATGAAGACCGATTCATGAAACATATAAAAAATAATAATTAAATTTGCATTTATATATAGAAGCTAAAAAGTTAACACCATCAAAATTTTAAAAACTATTTAAGCGTTTATCTCTGGCACGATGAAAATACTGATCATCAAAGACACCTGATAGTCTACGCTGCGCCTTAGTCAACGCCTCGCGTGTATAATGTCCAACATATCAGTTTCCACGTGTGACGCGCCTTATCTCGAAACTTCGTAAGCAATCTGATACTCGGAACGATGTTTTGGTTTCAAAATTATCCAAAAAATCTTCTTGTGTGCAATACGTGAGAGTACCTATCCTTCGGTAAAGCGATTTTTATTCTTTATTGTATATGTAGGTATATACATAAAATAGTTGATTTTAAAAACAAAATGTGTGCAATTCACACGTGGTAGAAGTGAAACCTTCCAAAATTAAAATACAATTATCCTAAACGTCTTAAGTATATGTAAAATTTTGTCATTAGTAAATAATTGTAAGGTAGCGCCCTCTGTGAATTGATATTTTAATTTCACGTATAATCCTAAATTAAAATTCACTACAAGAGCTTTCATACACACGTTAGTATTAAAAAATCTCACAGATGGCGCTGTATTAAATGTATGTATATTTCTGTCTCATTCTTTGCTGGCTTCATCCTACACATTTTTGTATTTGTGTCTCTTACCTGTCGTTTTTGCCGTTGCATCCGGTTTGAAATCACAACGATTCTAAAGAAGTTTTCACTTCAAAAACTAATATGAAGTAATCACAAATAAATAAGCGTAATTGTGTGGACTTTTCCCGTCTCACCATACCAAATTGACTTATCGTCAAACGTATCATATTATTTCGTTACAATAAACATTCCTACACAAACTCCTACATAAAATAATAATTCAAATCAAAACAAAATTATGCGTCTAGGCTCACCCTTAAAAGAATTAGCTGGGGATTCGCGAACCCGGATAAAAAAAAGTTAATAATTTACCGTGCTACCTGCGGCCGAGGTACCAGCCTGACATAAAGTGAAGGAGGTCTCCGGAGGCCAAGCGCACGCCAAAAACCAATAACATTAGGACGTACGTGCCTCGACGTTATGTTGCCCTGGTACACGAGCTGACAAAAATATCTATTTTCCTAGTCACAAATTGTCAAACTTTTTTATTTTATTGCTTAGATGGGTGGACGAGCTCACAGCCCACCTGGTGTTAAGTGGTTACTGGAGCCCATAGACAACTACAACGTAAATGCGCCATCCAACTTGCGATATAAGTTCTAAGATCTCAGTATAGTTACAACGGCTGCCCTACCCTTCAGACCGAAACACATTACTGCTTCACGGCAGAAATAGGTAAGGCGGTGGTACCTTCCCGCGCGGACTCACAAGAGGTCCTACCACCAGTAAAAATAAAACTTTTATCTGTTTACTTTCTTACTTTTTTTTTGTTTAAGAAACTTTTCTAATATATTTTATCTGATTGTTTCAGCATCCGTACCCTTCTGAAGACCAAAAGAAACAATTAGCACAGGACACAGGGTTAACAATACTACAAGTAAATAACTGGTGAGTCATTTCAAATTTTACTTCCTAAGGGTTCAAATTTATAGGGTTTTAAAAAATATTTTCATAAAATATGTGCGAATAAAAAGCTATCTACCTCTAAATGAAAATGAAGCGAAGAAATCTTAATGTGACCAAATATCAAACCTTATTGTTATCATTAAAACTAATACAGTTTGGAGGGCAAACAGTATTTGAAACTTCGGAAATAATATACCCGATATATCGGAACCAATAAAACTGAAGAAGATACAAATATTTATTTAATATCTACTTTAAAAAAAAAATTTAATTATCCTAAATTCGTTTTTACACGACACGATTCTCGTGCATTGCCTACCAATTGGAATACGAATAATGTAATAATAATTGAATCTCTCAGTACATTTCTCTCGGTACTTACATTTGAATAAGTCTGGTATACGTTCTACAGATAACAATAAAAACATAGTTTTACATTTCGCGATGTGAACGCAGCGTTAAATATAGATGATAATGCGCGTAGTTATCTATAAAAGTCGGTTGTAAACTGGTCCGATTTCGCGAGTTTGGTCGCACGCGATTTCTCGATAAGCGAATTGGTCTATAGATTGTTCAGAAATTTCTAGAATGAGTTAAAAAAAAATATTAAAATATCGTTATGTAGAAAATTCCGTTTTCTATTAGTTAGCTGCTTGAGTGAAATTTTATAAAAATGACACTGCTTTTTTGCTAATTAACATACGTATTTACGAAGTATACATTGAATATTTCACGATACAATAAAGAGGATATGGATAAAGGATGAACAATTGAACGTATTGGAGACGCACCAAATTTAATATATGTACCTGCTTCTGGTTCGAAATAATATATTGGCGTTTTTCTAAATTTCATTTGAAAAGGGTGAATTGGCTGACCATAGAATGTTCTCGAAGAAGAAACGTAAAATTCAATAACTTGTTCTTTAAGAAATATTTAAAATAGCATCTATGCAAAAACCGTAATGAGATTCCAGCACAATATCATAGTTCACTCGAGGACGTCGATGTAGATGTTCTCCAAACGAGGCTTGTGGAGAATACCTAACAGTAGGCAGCGGCTTGGCTCCGCCCTTGGTATTGCTGAAGTCCATGGGCGACGGTAACCACTCACCATCAGGTGGGTCGAATGCTCGTCTGCCTACAAGGGCAATAAATAAATAAAAGATCACCCGTGATACACACCGCGATCTCCTTCAGTAACTTGGTTATCATTTGCATCCTTTGACTTGAGCATATTCTTTCTTTCTTTTTCTCGATCTTATCCCACTGGGTGGAGTCGGCGTAGTTAATTTTTCTCCATTCTCTTCTATCAGCCGTCATCTCAACACTCCCTCGCCTCTCTCTCTCTCGTATCGTCATTCACACACTCCATCCATGTCTTCTTCGGTCGACCTCTTCCCCCTTTACCTTGCACTACCATTTCCATACATCTCCTAGTCACATACATCTTCTCTCTACGCGTCACATGTGCATACCATGCTAACCTTGAGTATATTGTAAACTGAATTTTTACTAGATGATGTTTTTGTGGTCTCAAAAGTCTACGCAACCCTATCCCGCCATTATCAGTTTCAATGCGTGGCAATAAAATAAGGTGCCGCTGACCTCCTTGACTCTGTCGTCACAACGCCTCTATATGAACCCACGCATCTCAGGACAAGCATTTCCTTAAGAAGTTTCATAAGAAGGTTCAGAAAAGCTGACATTGAATAAATTAAAAACTTCTATTAAGTCTGTCAGTACTTCCTTTGGATCCACGTATAACAATGAATATAATTGTCTGAGTAATCGCATTCCTAAAACGTACTTAAATACAAAACACCAAGAAACAACACAAGAAAACACAACTATTAAAACAAAATGATGTCAAATAATAACAAAACTACTCAAGTATCGATATTATAATTATTGACTGTCTATCTTTAATGGAGTTTATTTAATAATCAGTTTGATGATACCACTAAATACTCACAGGTTAGTGTCGTAGTACGAGAGGCAAGCTACAGATGCATAGCTTTGCAGATAAATAAATTAAGGGCCTTTGACAGTTTTTAATTAAAGATTCAGTTTTGAGTTCTTCAAAATTCATAAAGTTCTGTCATTGTGCATCGCAATAAATATATTAAAATATGGCCAAACGCTAACATTAATATCCAATTAGTCAACAGAAATTATAAGAAAAACCAAATCGTTACTAAATACACGTTAAAGATATAAATCGTAGTATAAATATTACAAGAACAGTTATTTTAATTATATACGTAATTAAAAGATATTTACACGTGTATTGTTTTAAGGTGAACTACTCTGACTGAACAATATGTCGTTTAGATTTTAAGTGCTCTTCGGATACCGAGGTATGATTATACAATTTCAAGAAGTACCCACTCATATTTATATTAATTGCGTCTCTCGGTAATCAGGATAACAAGAATTCCTAGGATTTTGTTATGTTTAATAAAGTTAGGCAAATTTAAAGCTTAGCCTTTTATTGGCCTAACTGGAGTATAAACGATTTGAAAATATGTACATAATGTGCGACCAGAACACTATGTACATATTTTCAAATCGCTTTTATTTATCAGTCAGTAGATTAAAGATTGTCAAGATTGTTGGCCAATTAAAAACATACATACAAGTCTGGGCAGGTCGCACCCTGGAATTCAAAATCACGAAAATTTGTGGCTTCGTTGCTTTATTTATTCGAGAACTTTCCTTCGCAACTTTTTTTTTATTGCCTTTGTATGCAGACGAGCGTACGGCCCACCTGATGGTAATTGATTACTGTCGCCCATGGACTTCAGCAATGCCAGTAGCAGAGCCAAGCCGCTGCCTACCGATTGTTCATTCGATTGAGCTTTAACTTATGTTGTCATTTTAAAAGTAAGGAGTTTTTTTACATTACCATCTACATACTTGGGATAGGTCGCGCGAATTTAATTTCAACATGTGGGTGAATGTTACACATCAAATAGCAGTCACTGTATAAAAATAATAAGCAAGCTATCTTAAAATAATACATATTGTCCTTCCATGACCATTGGCCACAGCGTATGCAATCCTATAATGCCCGGAAACTTATCGTATAATCCCTACATTAAGCTTATTACTACTAAGTAAAAACATGACTAAAGTCTTACGTCGTTAGTAAATACAACTCAAACAACTTTCAAATATCTCAAAGCGATTTAAAACTCAAATATAGCGTAGCATCAAATATTGACTACGACAAGACCCTAAACAAAATACTGTAATGATAATAATGAATTCCTTCAAAGTTGATTAGCATTGAAATTGGAAAGGCAGAGCTAATGATTCGTATAGCACCTCAGGGCGGTGTGTCATTATGGGAAATATTACACCTCTCGTATTGACGTGAATGACGGAAGAAAGCTCTGTAATGGATAAGACTATTGACCCGGATACAGTCTAAAAGTTTATTAAGCATGCTTTCATTTGATGTTAAGAATGTGATCTTTACAGATAATGGACATGGCTAGCTAGATAATTAAGCGCATTCCACACGTTGATGACTGAATATTTATCATAACATATTATTATTTAGTATTATATTTAAAAAAAAAAGCTCGGATGGGTGGACGAGTGGTGGTAAGTGGTTATCGAAGCCCATAGACATCTACAGACGTAAATGCGGCCACCTAACTTAAGATATGAGTTCTAAGGTCTCAGTATAGTTATAACGGCTGTCCCACCTTTCAAACCGAACCGCATTACTGCTTCTCTGCAGAAATAGGCATGATGGTGGTACCTACCCGTGCGGACTCACAAGAGGTCCTACCACCAGTAATAACGCAAATTATAATTTTGCGGGTTTGATTTTTATTACACGATGTTATTCCTTCACCGTGGAAGTCAATCGTGAACATTTGATGAGTACGTATTTCATTAGAAAAATTGGTACCCGCCTGCGCGATTCGAACACCGGTGCATCGCTCAACACGAATGCACCGGACGTCTTATCCTTTAAGCCACGACGACTTCAATATATTTCTCAACTATAAACTTTTGATTGGTATTTGGGAGTCTTAACGACGAAAGGAAAGATCTTCCACCGAGCGGGTGATATTTGCTCGGTAGACCGACGGTCCGAATGTTGTTGTTCGGAACTTGTATACAGTCGTGGTCAACTAATTAGGGACATTCAAGATAGTGAAGGGCTATAACCGGTTTTGTACATTTAAATATAAAACCCTATTGATTTCTCAGCACCTATTATTTGCATAATGTGGTCCGATTATTATGCTATAAATGGCTGTAAATAAAAGATTTAATAAATAGAAAAAGTATTTAATATCAAAGATTAAACATGNGGTATTTGGAACTGACTCAGCTTTGTGGATTCTACCTGTATGAATTTTTAGACCCCTATTACCTTTAAAATACCGTAAACATTCGTCACATTGAGTAAGACCAGCAGGAAAAGTATTCGGATTTGGCGGTAGCGGTTGTGAGTGAGACATATTATTTTAAACATATTATAAAATCTTTAACATGTAGCTAACTAAGTTAATAACTATTGCAGAAAAGTAAAATTAGAAAATGATAATAGTAATAAAGCTATAACAATTCCATTTAAATATGTCAAATTAAAAAACAATACCAATAAAATATATTTGAATGATAACAATAATAATCCAAAATAACTAAAAATCATGTCAATAAAATCAATTTTGCAAATTAAAAAAAATAAAATTTAAACTAATTTTGTAAAATTTTACATCAATATTGACTTAATTATTGTTTAAATAAATAAAAAACAATTAAAAAAATATAAAAATAGAAAACGACATTTTGACGATATAACCATGGGCTCGAACGTAGTAACTCCTTCACTGCGTACTTGATTTCATAGTTCACACCGCTAGACCAGGCGTATTGCTTGCATGCGAAGTGAATGTTCCTATGATATTGAATATTTCTTGGTAAAGTATTCCTTTGACAATAATATTTTTTTTCTTGATCGACGGTATCTTGTAGTCAAATGTAATGCTGCACGCACACAAGCCACCCCGTTATTACGAAGATGGATGTGTGATTTACGGGGACACTTGATAGCTACAAAACACCCAAATTGCTGCCAAGTTCAGATTCTTCTGCCGCATTGATATCGTAAACACTTCACTTCACTAGTTGTAACGTAAACAACACACAGCTGTTAATCAGCTGATTTGTACGTAAGGTTGACGAAACGTTTCTTTCTTACGAAACACCCTTATTTTATCTTCTGTCACCGAAAACACTTGTACTGTATATTTAGGACAGGTACAATGAATTTTAGTGATTATATTTACAAAATCACAGGTTTACAATTTTTAAAAGCTAAGCTGTTCTTCTACTTGCTACCCCACTATGAGGGGTCGGTGTAACATGTCCTGTTTCTCCATTCATGTCTATGATACATCATCTCTGCACTCACACCCTTCCCTTACATGTCCTCTTTCTCACAGCCCACCCAAATCTCTTTAAGACGTCCCCTCCTCAAAAGGGACACACTGTTATCCGTGTAATGAAATTTGGAGTTTTAAAATTACAAACTTTTATAGAACTCGAACAGTGATTTGATTAGATTCGTTGAAATTTAAATTACAAAGTAATATTAAATTAGAGAATTAAATGGAAATAAAACAAATGTGCCAAGCTCGTCCGGGGACACCGGGCTCCCCACGCCGGGCTCGCAGGGTTGACGCTCTCGATGGGAATCAAAAACGCAATTAATGTACTGTTACGCCGGTAAGAGTAAAACGCCATGTATCGCCGAATAGTCGAACGAATACCGAATGATCTAGTAACATCTAGAACGCGCGAGAAGCACAACGCCATCTATTGTCAGATATCGGAAACACAATACTAGAAATGTGTGGAATATTCTCGACGATTCTAGGGATTTCGTTTCGACTATAAATGCGTTGCAGAGATGTCAGTTAATAATCGGAACCACTCGAAGCGAAGCAGCGAACGCGTCAACTAAGCGAATTGAGAATTTTAAAGTGTTCGTGAAGTGTTTTAACTGTTGAATACAGTTTTTAGTTTAGTTATGACGACGCTTGTAGCTGAAAGTAAGTATTGTACTTTTTGACGAAGCATGTTGCTAATAACTCGATTTCTGTAATCTGATGAAGCGTGTTGCGGATAATAACATGTATTTTTAGGTTATTAAAATAACATTTTGTGTATTAATAAAAGTTTTTAGTTGCACTTTGGTGGAATTTTATTTATCTCGAACCCCAATGCGTAACAGTACTACTAAATTCTATTCTAGTAAAACATACCGGTGGTGTTGTATCCGTTGGAGCAGTCGAGCGAGTCGAGCGACGAGGGAGCGAAGCAGTCGTCGTCCGACGAGGAGCCCGCCCCCACGATGACCACCTCATCAGCGATGGGGGGCGTCGTGGATATCGTCACCGCGTTAGGAGGCAGCTAGAGAGAACATTTTTGTTTAAATATCTATATATATATCGACGCTTGAAAGGCAAACCTGACTAAGCGACAATGCGTGAACTTTACAGTAGATTAATTTAAAGTTGAAATACCTGAAAAAAAATCTATTTTAACGGATTTAGCTGTAGGATTGAAATGATTTTAATAGACCTAGAAAATTTTTTTTTTTGCGCATCGATTGTCATTGCTTATCATTTATGTACAAAGCAGTTATTGTCGCTTAGTTACGTTTGCCTTTCAAGCGTCGATATATGTATATAAATGAATTGCTGTTCGTTAGTTTCGCTAAAACTCGAGAACGGCCGGACCGATTTGGATAATTTTGGTCTTGAATTATTCGTGGAAGTCCAGAGGTTTAAAAGGTGAAAAAATATAAAAAAGCTCGGAATTATATAAAACCAAACAATTTTGTTTTTCCTATGATGTGTCTTTGTGTTCTGCCGGGTACATTGATAATTAACATTGAGCCGATTTTGACATAAGTCGACATAAAAATAGTTTGAATCCTAAGCGCATGTCTCCACCGTGTGATATGAATTTGTAGTACACGCGAGCGACGTCGCGGGCGGACAGCTAGTTCTTATAACTTTTTTTTTTTTTTTAACGCTTAGGTGTTAGTATAGAGATAAAAACCTCAATCGCTCTAACGATACAAAATAAGCAGTCTTAACCCGTCGCTTACGAAGGGCTCGGCGAGTAAACTAACCCACAGACGCAGCCCACCGAGTTTCTCACCGGATCTTCTCAGTGGGTCGCGTTTCCGATCCGGTGCTAGATTCTGCGAAGCACGGCTCTTGCTAGGGTCAGTGTTAGCAACATCGCGGGTTGAGCCCCGTGAGCTCACCTACTTGATAGGGTTACACTAAATTGGCCTAACAAGGTTAACAGCTTAGGTAGGAAGAAAAAAAAAGTAACCACTCATGTAAGGGTTTTAATTGCTCTAAGTGCGGCCCAGCTGACGTTAATTGGTTATCGGAGCGCATGGACCTTGTCGTACCGACTCCCGGCTCAGACATTCAGACAGAGTACATTAATGATCTAAACAATGAGTTATACGTACCGCAGCGGCCGTGGTGAGCACGGGGGGGTGCGTGGTGGTGACGGTGACCAGCCCCGCCGGGCACGCCGCCAGCGAGTTCGGTTCCACCACGACCACCACGCCGGACGCCGACACCGGGGTGGGGGGCTGCGAAAGTCAACAATCATAGATTCGATTAGTAATTCAAGGGCTAACTGTAGGATTGCATTGACACAAAGTATAACTTTAATGCTGTAATCTATACATACAAAAAAAATTAAAGTGTCTGTTTGTAATATTGAAATAATCGCTTTTTACTTCATGCATATGAATATATATACGGTACATACACCAAAATAACATTTTTTACAATTTTTGTCTGTCTGTCTGTCTGTTTGTTCCGGCTAATCTCTGGAACAGTTGGACCAATTTTGACGAGACTTTCACTGATAGGTAGCTAATGATGTAAGGAGTAACTTAGGCTACTTTTTTTAGACTAGCTTCGCCCCGCGGCGTCTCCTGTGATACGACAATAACCGCGGGTAACATCGCGAGACTCGGCTATCAATAATAAAATTTAATGTTTCCGAAGCGAAGCGAGGGCGGGTTGCTAGTCTAAAAATAAGAAAACGATTCTTATAATGGTTAACTTAATTTGCTATTAACACGGAATTTCTGCGATAAACTTTTTTTTATTGACTGTCCCATCCATGCACTTTTGTAGCTCACTGTACCTGGTCAGTCTTCAGTGAAATGGGATTTTACGCATTCACGATATGAAACTACTGAAAACGTCCAAAATTTGTGATTTATACAAAGCGATGGGTGGACGAGCTGATGGCCCACCTGGTACCAAATGGTCATTAGACATCAACATCGTAAATGCCGAATTGAAACCTGAGTTTTAATGCCGCTTTCAGACTACGCTATAATATAATAGCATATAGTATATAGCTCATAGCACAACAATATCGGGCACCATACATTGTCATGGACACGTTCACACTATACTGTACTATATATTATAGGCTAAGTATAGGATGCTATATGGCACTATAGTATAGCGTAGTCTAAAAGCAGCTTAAGACTTCGTTTTCACTACAACTACCCTTCAAACCGGAATGGATTACTGGTCCGCGGCAGAAATGGGCGGGGCAGTGGTACATACCCTTGCAAACTTATGAGACGTCCAGTCACCAGCAAAAGTATTCATTTCGTTTAGCTTTTTGAAGTCGTCGTGGCCTAAAGGATAAGACGTCCGGTGCATTTGTGTTGAGCGATGCACCAGTGTTCGAATCCCGCAAGCGGGTACCAATTTTTCTAATGAATTACGTACTCAACAAATGTTCACGATGACTTCCACGGTGAAGGAATAACATCGTGTAATAAAAATCAAACCCGCAAAATTATAATTTGCGTAATTACTGGTGGTTAGACCTCTTGTGAGTCCGCACGGGTAGGTATCACCACCCCGCCTATTTCTGCCGTGAAGCAGTAATGCGTTTCAGTTTGAAGGGTGGGGCAGCCGTTGTAACTATACTTGAGACCTTAGAACTCACATCTCAAGGTGGGTGGCGCATTTACGTTGTAGATGTCTATGGGCTCCAGTAACCACTTAAGACCAGGTGGGCTGTGAGCTCGTCCACTCATCTAAGCAATAAAAGAAAAAAGCCTTCAGGTCCAGTTACCACTATAACATCTCATTTTTTTTATCAGAAAGAAAAATCTCACCGTGACGGGCCTGATCTCGATAGCGTTCTGCGATCTCCTGTCGTCTCTTCTCTTCTCAACCTTCTGACCGTCGACGGAATTAGACCTGGAGAAATGCCTCTCCAGTCGGCAGACCTCCGCGTTCACCCTGCTGACTTCCACAACGGGTCTGTCCTCCTCCCTCGAGTTGGACCTGGAGGTCTTCTGCTCGAAGTTCCTGGAAAGCCTCTTGACGTCCGCCTTTTCTTGTACGGTATTAGGGGATTTCTCGGAGGTCCTGTCCGCGGTTGAGTTGGTCAGCGAGTATATTTCGCTGATGCGGAGTTCCACGTTGCTCCTCCTCGTCTCCTGGTCCCTGGGCGGATGGGGCGCGCTCAGGGCGACCTTGGTACTCACATCCTCGGAACTCTGAACTCTTTTCTTACGCACATCCTCCATCTTAGGTTCAACTATACGCGCTTGCTCTAATTTAGTTTCTCCGGTTATCCTCAGCTCTACGGCGCTTCTGTTCATTTCCTTGTTCCTTTTAAGTTCATCCGAACCTCGGTCGGTTTCGTGGTTGCTTCGGCGAAGTTCCTCGCTGCTTCTGTTCACTTCCACTTTACTTCTGCACAAGTCGTCCGTGTTCGTTTCGATCGCGCTACTCCTGTGAGGTTCTTCGGCAGCCTTGTTAATTTCCACGTTGCTGCTGGACTTCTCCTTACTTCTGTCCACTTCTCCGGCGCGGGACAGCTCCTCAGCGCTGTCGCTGCTGCCAAGTCCTTCTGGGCTGGTCCGTGGAGCGACATCGCGGGGTTCCGATCTGGGCTCAGGCGTGGCCAGTCTCTGCTCCAATTTAGGTGATGCATTGCGCGATGGTTTCTCTGGTGATTTGTTGGTTTTGTTCTCGACTGCTTTCTCGGCGTCTCGGCAAACCTGCCGATGGAAACATTGCTCATCAAGAAACAAACACGTCCGGGCAGCAGTCGCGCTTAAACGAGCGCGCGGCCATGGCGCTCAAATGTTCATTATATATTTACCTGATCAACTATAAGCTTAGCGCTCGGCGGCGGGGGGGCCGGCTGCTTGTTCCGATGCTGGGCGGGTGCGGGGGTGGGGGCGGCGGCGGGGGGCGAGGGGAGCACCGCGGGCGGGGGCATCGGTGCTGGACCCTTTTCTTTCTTCGGAGCCTGCGAACGACAAACTATCAATTGTAACGGGCCGATAGTACTGTTTAGGACTCTTGAGGTGTCCAATTGGAGGGTCAATTTGCAGCCGCACTCTCCACTGTAATGGTTAGCTTCTCTCCCATTCACTCTTCAAGCCATTCCGCATGACTTACGAATTATGACGAATTTATTCCTTCATTGTGATTTTATTTAATTAGCGAAATTGGTAACATCCGGCGGAATTCTAACACCGGCGCAGTCGCGTCTTACACTTTAAGGCACGAATGTTTGTTGTACTAAAAGTTCTTCAGAAACACAACAAAAACTGGACTTATTGGCGGGAACGCGAGGAGTGAATTCGTGTGATTTATTTTATTTTGTCTATTTAGTGTTTCTTCAGGTTTAAACGTGTAATAGCGGTCGTTTATTAATTGTTTAATATATGTACAAGTGCACAAGTATGTGGGAAAATGAAACAAAGACGCTGAACGTAACTTCTCGGGATCCTCCAAAAAGTCCACTGAAAAAATCTCAGTTAATGACTACTATTTCACTGAGATTATATATTTCATCCCATATCATCTCATCTCATTTCATTTTATTTCATCCCAGTTGATTAACGTCCCAAATTAAACATCTTCATTTCATTTCACTCCATATTATCATTTTTCATAAAATTATGATCATAAATTAAAATAAGACATGACTTAAAGGTCTTAGTTACCAGGTCATAGAATCCCTTAAAAAAGAAAACAACAATATTTGAGAGAGACATATAGACGTAACGGACCGGTGGTTTCCTGTCAGCGGAGGTTTGCTCGTCGTCGTGCGGACGCTTGCTGGCGGCGGCGGGAGCGGGAGCGACGGCGGGTGCGGGCGCGGGAGCGGCAGCGGGCGATGAAGCGGGAGCGGGTGTGACCGCTGCCGTTTGTTCGGTGTCCGACACTGGAAATACGATAATTATATGAAAATAATGAGCAAAAGAGACAGAACATTGAATTAGAATTGAAGACATGAGTGGATGAAAGGGATATGACAATTTTGTTAATTTTGAGAAAACGGACAACAAGCTTGTTACTTGTACTTTTTCTTTGTATATATATAGCTGCTACGTCACATGCAATTTCTAAAAATAGCATTTAAACCCGGCGTTTTAAGGTCTAATATGGTTTATAAACACATAACACCTTCATTCAATGTAAAGACTCAATAATCTTAAAAATTGTACTTAACCGCTTCATCCACTCATGTCTTCAAATATTCTTATGTGTCTATTTTAAGCGATATGAAAAACTGCTTTTCTGGTGTGACTTATCTTGTAGATGCTTTAACAAGCTCAGGGCTCATCAGATGCTAAGCCGCCACTGAAGCCCATGGGCCTCACTGGGTCAGACAAGAGGTCTTCAAGCCAGAACGTACAGGTTCTACGTGACAAGACTTTTTTATTGTCCTTGTAGTCAAACGAGCATACGGCCAACCTGATTGTGAGTGATTACCATCGCCCATGCACGTCAGCAATGCTAGGGCTAAATCACCACCTACCGTTAAGTACAAACACTACGTAGGGCGGTGGTGCTAAGACCAATCATTATGGGTTACTGTGATCACGCAAGCGCTGTGGCGCCATCTTACGGCAATCGAAAACAACTCGAACGAAAACAACCGAAAACTGACTCGATACGATTTACACGCAGTCAGTTGCACTGGCGTGTACTAGCTTGAAATAAATTAACACGATGGCAGTACTGTACGGACTTAAAATCAATTTACACTATGGCACTGCCAAGTCAGCACTGACTCGGCAGTGTACTGACGTTAGTTACTGATTAAGTGTAAATCTGCCTTTAGCATTTAACTCCGCGCAATCATCGAGAGAGAGAGAGAGAGAGGGAGAGAGACGGGTATATATGTGCGACTCACTCTTCGCGTCCGGCGTCTCGCTCGACCTCACAGAAGTCGAGTCATCTTCCATTTCCATCGGCATGTGAGAATTGCGAGGCTCCTGTAACATTGTTAACGGTTTTTTTTAATTATTTTTTATTGCATAAATGTGTGGACGAGCTCACAGCCCACACTGATTTTAAGTGGTTACCGGAGACATCTACAGCGTAACTGCCACCACCAATCATGAGATATGAGTTCTAAGTTCTCAGCATAGTTACATATTATTAGTAAGATCAAACAAACATCATCACCAATACGAACAGAACGTATTTGTTTAACACCGGCGTGCTTAGTGCGAGTTTTTTAACGTTCTCGATAGCGTAAAAGTTAACTCAAATTTGTATGAAATCGAAACATTTGCCCACGTTTGTCGCTAGGGGCGCTGTTCCAACTGCATACAAATCTGAGTTAAATATTACGCTATCAATAACGTTAAAAAACTCGCACTAAGCACACTAAAGCGTGGATCGAAGGCTGAAGACTGTCGGAGAAGTCCATAGTTTAAGTGGTCACTGATAACGGAGGTTCTACCCGGATATTGTGCTAAGACCTAAAGATGGACTTTTTGGCGGGAACGCGAGAAGTGAAGTTGTGTGATTTGTTTTATTTTATCTATTTAGTGTTCCTTCAGGTTTAAATGTGTATTAACGGTGGTTTATTAACTGTTTAGTATCTGTGAAAGTACACAGATGTGGGAAAATGAAACAGAGCCGCTGAACGTAACTTCTCGGGATCCTCCAAAAAGTCCACTGAAAAAGTCTCAGTAAATGATCACCATTTTACTGAGATTAGATATATTTCATCCCATATCACCTCATCTCATTTTATTTCAAGTCATGTTTCATATTAATCAACTTCATTTCATTTCATAATATTTTTCATATATAAAAAAAGTTTTATTAAAATTAGTCTTAGTCTTAGTTACCAGGCCATAAAATCCCAATAAAAGACCTCAAGATACTCTTAGCTATTTCAGTGCACAAAAAAAAGTAAAATTACATTTTTTTATTTGACGGTAGTTATCGCAATGTTTAAATGTCGACGAACCATACCCAAAACGACCGTCAGCGAACACTTAAACAATGGAGCATTATAAATATCTGATATACTTTATATGTACACATATATCGAAGGATGAAAAGCTATTTTTATTAAGCGACATTTCGCTTAATACGCGAGATTTATCTTTGTAATTAAAGGTGCGTTTTATTTTTTTTATAAGTATCAACAGTTCGATGTTTCTAATTGAACTTCAATTAGTTTACTCCATTTAAATAGCCGAAGTTTTTTTGTTATGATATTTTTGTTCCAAGTTTTAAGCTTTAAACAGCTAAACCCCTGTAAAGTTTCAAAAATGTCTCTTAAACCAAATAGCTTGTCACCTGTCGATATATAGACAAGTCTATGGGTGGTTGGTACCTTCGAAGGCGGCTGGTGCCCTGGCGGCTGGCAATCCGATTCGCATGCAATGTTAGATAAAACAAAAACAAAAGATTAACGCGATATAGAATACTCTTAGGTTGAACATCAAGCCAAATAAGGGTTAAGTCTTATTAATACGCTTTTATTAGCTTCAGACGTATGCATGTTAGTATGTAACGGAATCTTTGAACATGATTTTGACCCCCTTCAAAACGTCGGATTAACTCGAAATTTGGTATGCTTATTAAGGACCGATGACAATACAATATTAAAACAAAAAAATATGAAAATTTTTAAATTCAAATAAATAGTGAAAAAGAAATAATAGTTTAAAAAAACTAAAAAAATACGCTTTTATATAGAAAATTCAACTAAAAATAGAAAATAAATTTTAATAAATTTGAATTAAAAATAGTGTAAGAAAAAATGATTTTAATGTAAAAAAAAAAAGCGCGGGGTGCATGGTATCAGTAGTTATAAATATTTTATGAACAGATATGAGTAGAAGGGTTATTTTGATAATATCCTGAAAAGCTCCCCACGCTTTTTTTTTACAATAAAATCATTTTTTCTTACACTATTTTTAATACAAATTTATTAAAATTTATTTTCTATTTTTTAGTTGGATTTTTTATAAAAGTATATTTTTTAGTTTATATTATTTATTTTTTCTTTTCTCCCTACTCATTCGTTAGGTTCGGTAGGTGAGCTCACGGGCTCAATCTGTGAGAACTTCCTAACCTCAGCCCTAACAAGAGCCGTGCTTCGCAGAATCTACCACCGGATCGGAAACGCGACCCACTGAGAAGATCCGGCGAGAAACTCAGTAGTGGGCTGTGTCTATGAGATCCTGCCGAAGACATGAGCTCCATGTATTTATATATCGCACCTTTAGAATTGTAGTGGCTTAACTAATTTTTTTTAAGAAAATGAGTTTTATACTTCGAACGACTTTTATACAATATGTATTCTGTTAGATTATGAAATTAAACAGTCTCCTTTAGTCCAGTAAAGGGGACAAATGTACTCTTTCTACATCTTTTTTTTTTGCATATATGTGTGGACGAGCTCATAGCTCACCTGGTGTTAAGTGGTTATCGGAGCCCATAGACATCTACAATGTAAATGCCGCCACCCACCTCGAGATTCTTGAGATATGAGTTCTAACTAGTTCTAAGGTCTAGGAATATTCTCAGATAGTTCTATGGATTCAAATCAAATCAATTAAGGTATTGTCCTTAAAGTATTAAAATCGAAAAACTAACAATAAAAAACAATTCTTCAATTACTTTTCTGGCGTTTACCAAAAACAAAAAAATAATAATTTTGTATTAATTAAATCACTTCAGTTCTATAGATGCGATATATTGTATGGAGAGGTGGACGAGCTCGTCTGTTGATAAGCGGTTACAGGGGCCCGTAGACCGTCACACTGCAAGGCTCAGCTCCGCGTAAGCAATAGGGAGGTCACCATTAAATTTCAATTGCATTTAAATATTATTGTTATTGACATGAGCATGTCTTACTCTAAAAGCCAGATCGCTGATATAGATTGTATATATAAAAAAAAATTAATCAGTGTGTTCATTCATGATATACCCTCAAAATACTGAAAAGCAACTGTGAGCACTGGTGAGTACTCGTGACCAACCGTGAGCGCTCATGATCCTTGCTTTTAAAAACAATATATAAGGTCTACTAAAAACCAAGTGTGAGCAATGGTGAGCACTTGTGACCGCTTGTGACCATTACTTCTTAAAGCCTCACAGGCTTCAGCTTAACATCAACATCATTATTATTAAATACTAACCAATTCTCTGATACTGCTCCTTGCTGATCTTAGACTTGTTCCTTTTCAACTTCAACTTAAGCCGAAACCGTAAGCCATATTAGTCAGCGTGCGCACAAGCGTTATGTGTAAGTTAGTTTTCAATTACATCCAGATATTGTAATTTCAAAGAAAACAAAAACCTCTCAGCAGCCGGGATTCGAACCCGCACCCTGACTGAGCCAATTAGTCAGCATCGCTAACCAAAAAACATCAATCTAAATTCCGTATTTCTTGACATTAGAATGTACATACATACATATAAATTACAAATTTTTAAAAATACTGATATATAGGGGGTTTAAAATAATAAATTATCATTAAACAAAAAAAACACACACACGACACACACACAAAAATACTGGCCAAGTTTGGCATATCTCTGATGTGCAATTATGCCACCATCAATTAATAAATACTGATAGGGATGTCACAAAAACATTTGCTACATTAAATAATTATCTATACGCGAAGCAAAAATTTTGTACCCCTTTTTCAAAAAATTGCGCGGATGGAGGAGTCTGAAATTACCCACACTTATAGAGAATATAGAGGAGTGCAGAAGGCTAATTTTTTTTTTTAATTATGCGTAAAAAAACATTTCGCCAATAAACAAAATATTACACACACTATAATATATTTGACACAACACAGATAAATAAATATACTTTTTGTTTGTTGTCAAACTTTTGTTATTGTTTAAAGTCCATGGTCAAATCGAGAATAGATTATCATTGTATATTATTTGTCTATAGTGTAGTAGTAGCCTTGGCGAAATCTGAGATAGGAGTATAATAAATAGTCTTTGACAATAGAATCATAATATGTTCAAAATTATAATTTCAATTAATTATATTCAAATTTCGACTACTGGGCGACCACTAATAATTAATCATAATTAACTCAACACTATGACAAAAATTGTTTTTCAGTTTGCCAGCCAATTATAAAGCACTTTATAATTTTCACTAGATGCAACGCGCGATGTATGACTAACAAAACAATTTTATTGTGGAACGTTGATTTGCATTACGGGTAAAATTTAAAAACCAATTGATAAACTCCAATTTTAACTACTCTTGTGCCAATCACCGAACACTCTTCAGATAAAAAACACATCAGAAGCAATTCACCAACTGAGCTCCCGGTTCTCAGAGCTCCAGTGCACAAAGAGCCTCACCTCGCTATCATCATCCAGCACCTCCTCCTCCACGACTTCGGCCCTGTACTCGAGCAGGAGGTCGCGGAGGGGCTTGGAGTCCAGGTTCCCTCCGACGAAGTCGTGCTTCAATAGTTCGACGGATGTCGGCCTTTTTTCTGGGTCCTGAAAATCGATAAAAACCACAACTGTCAAATTAGATGCTGTCATTGTCTATGTCAGACTGCGAGGATAAGATGTCCAGTGCATTCTTATCTAGCGATGCACCAGTGTTCGAATCCCACAGGCGGGTACCAATTTTTATAATGAAATACGTACTCGACAAATTTTCACGATTGACTTCCACGGTGAAGGAGTAACATCGTGTAATAAAAATCAAACCCGGAAAATTATAATTTGCGTAATGACTGGTGGTTGGTTGAACCTCTTGAGTCCGGGTAGGTTCCACCACCCTGCCTATTTCTGCCGTGAAGCAGTAATGCGTTTCGGTTTGAAGGGTGGGGCAGCCGTTGTAACTATACTGAGACCTTAGAACTTATATCTCAAGGTGGGTGGCGCATTTACGTTGTAGATGTCTATGGGCTCCAGTAACCACTTAAAACCAGATGGGCTGTGAGCTCGTCCACCCTACTAAACAATAAAAAAAAACCATTAAGACATACGAAAAAATGGATGGATTGCGTGAAAGACGATACGTGTAAGAGGGGAGTGAGCGAAGAAATGGTACAGGAGTATGGAAGGAGAATACATGTTCCGCCGACCCCAGTTAACTGAGAGAAGGGCAGGAGAATGATGATGATGATGATGATGGACCATTAAGGCACTATTGAGACTTCGACATCCACGTAGCACCATTCACAAGGTCTATAAAGGTAACCTCAGATATGAGACCGGCATGACATCATACTCACCTTGACCAGAGCTTTCGATATGAAATCGTTGAAGGATTTGCTCCAGCGAGACGGCTGGTCCAAGGTCGGGGGGTCAGACTTCTGTATCTTGAGCAGGACCCTCATCGGGGTCATTTCGTGGTTGGGGGGCTCCATTTGGGCGAACTCGATTAATGTTATACCCAATGACCAAATGTCGACCTGTCCGGGGTGAAATTGGAATTTTAACACATTGACTGCCACGTGGGTCACCGGCGCCCTACGCGGCGCACTGAAGTAATTGTGTCGATTACTGTTACTAAACGCCTGGATTACCTAACTTCGCCTTCTTATGTGTGTTATAGTCTTTTAGGTCACTTAGACATAGATTCATTCTCAGTATCTTCAGATTCATCTTTCCCAGAATCTATAGAAATTCTGGCACCTTAGTAAGAAGATCGAAGAGAGAAGTCGACATAATTACTTCAAAATGCGCCGCGTAGGGCACCGGTGACCTACATGGTAGTCAATTTGTTAAAATAAAACACTGAATTGTTTATAAAGTTACGGTGTCATTGAATAGTGAGCCAGCAATTCCACAGGGGCATTGCCTACGGATAATTTACTGAGCCAATGAAATAACTTGGATATATCACCTTGAAGTCATAAGGGTTATCACGGAAGGTCTCGCAAAGCACCACCTCGGGGGCCATCCAGTACGGAGTGCCAATGAACGTGTCGTGCTTCTGGAGGGTTGACTTGTTCTTCGCTGACACACCGAAGTCAGCTGTATGAAAAGAAATAAATGAGTTAATTTTTTTATCTATACTTATATATGTCGACACAAGTCCATGATAATTAACAAATGTAATTGTTCTGATTATGAAATCAATCATTGTGTCGAATAAATTGGTTGTGTTTAGTTATTAATTAGTGTTATGATTTTTGGAATGTGTTTTGCGTTAGAATAAAACCTAAAATGAATTGATGAAATTATTATGAGTTGTTTAACAGTTGAAACATTCGTCGCCATTTATAGACGGGATGTTTCAACTTTGATTAAGATTTAAAAATTAATTCAATTGTTCATAATTACTTTCGAAATGTTTAATTAGTTTACGAATTATTTTTGTAATTAAAATTAATCATTTAGAGAAGTTGCAATTTAAAAAGTGTGTTGACGTTTTGCCGCCCGGCGCCATCTTTTAGTGTTTAATTTCGCTGGCGCACGAAACTACGATAGACGAATGTTAAAACACTTTTCGTTCGAGCGCCGGGCGGTGATATATCTTGTGAGTACCTACTTATTGTTTTATTATAATTGTGATTATAAAACTATTACTCTGAGAACCCTCTGGTGTCTTGTAAAATAAACTGTTTTGTGTGTTTCTGGTTGTGTTTTATTGTTTGCGATGAGTGCGCTGAATAGTGAAGGCAGTGACGTTAGCAATGCTGACGTCACTCCTTTTACAAGTTCCTCTGGACCAAACCCCTCGTCATATATAAATATACAGTGGTTTTTACAGATGTTCCATTATAACTACTGAACCATGCATCCGATTGACTTGAAACTTGGTATCCATGTAGAAAATACACGTAATATAAATAATATACATACATAAAATACATGTGATATAAGTAATATAAATAAATGGATAGACTAATATTTATATGAGTGTTGGTCTCCCTACACCAGTTGCGGGGGCCTTAATGATGAGAATCTTTGTGGGGGTGAGAAATAATAATGTTAATTTTCAATGGCCAGCGAAGTGGACGGGTACAGCTAGTTTTTATGTAAAATCAAATCTGTACTTATAGACATTTTCAAAGTAGATTTATTCGAAACAACTTTATAATTGTATATGGACTATATAAGTATGCAACACTCTAGAACAGTGGTGACATTGTCGTCACGACTGAATGAACCAATCTAGAATAGCAACAGCCCAATGCTTCCCCTAGATGTCTACATGGCGACTAAAGGACCCACTGGATAATGTGCTCGAGAATGTGGAGTTCTTGAGAGTTATGACAGCCATTCTACAATACGATTGAGCCTTAGAGATGTCTCAAGGGTCTATGAGAAGTCGTCGTGGCCTGCGAGATAAGACACTTGGTGCATTCGTATCTAGCGACGCGACTGTGCCGGTGTCCGAATCCAGCTAGCAGTTACCAATTTTTGTAATGAAATACGTACTTAACAAATCTTCACGAATGGCTTCCAGAATGAACGAATAGCTTCGTAATAATTAAAATCTAACGTAGACGTAGAGCGTCTTGTAGCACCACCCTTTTTCTCTGGGCCGGGGGCCGAACCCCCACGAGGTATTCGTGCCTCGGGGGCGTGCGGGGTATGAAGGACTGGACGATTCGCAGATGTTAGTAATAGACCGCGGGTCCAAGGATGATATATAGGGTCGCAAGGTACCACTACCCTATCTATTTCTGCCGTGAAGCAGTAGTGAGTTTTGGTTTGAAAGTTGAGGCAGCCGCTGTACTGAGACTTAGAACACATGTCTCAATGTGGGTGGCGGCATGTTGAGGTCTATGAGCTCCGATAATCACGTACCAACTGGTCTGTAAGTCATTTGTCCAGATACTACGTAAACCGACCACAAAATTGTAATCGGTGCGAAAAAAATCTCACCCAGTTTAACTCCGCCCGCCATAGTCGCCAGAACGTTGCCCGCCTTCAGATCCCTGTGTATGACCCTCCGCGAGTGCAGAAACTGCAAGCCCTTGCACATTTCCCGGCAAACGTAAGCTATCTGGGCTTCGTTCAGTCCCTTCTCCAGTTCCGCCATCACCGAATCCAGGGCTCCGCCGTCGCAGTACTCCAGCAGCATCTGTCGAGGGATCCAGGTTAGTGACGTAGCGATCTTAGCTCGCGCCCAGAGCACAATACCTTTTTAGCGTTTGATTTAGTGTTCCTTTATTTTTCATTTTTAATTACGAATTACCATCTATTATGAGGCTAAATTTAAAATATGTTTTCCAGAAGTCGATTACAATAAAAATAAAAATTATCCAGCAACTTTTTGTTTTGCGGGCCATTTGGCGTCCCTTTGTGAGCAGCACTCGGGGCATGATGCCCTATTCCGTATCTGCTGTAAGCAGCTGAATCTGCATTCAACTCCCACAGACACAACATAATAAACCTTGAAAACCATCTTGAACACTCATCCTATATATAATGTGAATCTCAATTAACGTACATATTACCCAACAAAAGAAATTATAATAACCTCATGAAATAGATAATTATGGTAAGATTTCCTAATAAATACGTTTTATTCCAGCGACAGTGATTATTTGTAATTAATAAAAGTAAAATACTTTTTTTTTATATTTCTATCATGTTGCGTTTTTCCTCATACCTACATTCATCAGATAATTTATCGATAAAAAATATCGGCTTTATCAAGCACTAGCGTGTACGAACATTTTATGGCCTTTTTGCGTGTGTGAGTGTCTATGCCTACGGAAGATTAGTGCCAGTTTGCGATCGAATATCTGTCCTAAAATTTATGTATAGGCGATTCTGTTCTGTCCGAAATATTAGTAATCATAGTACATATTGCGTATGTGTAGAAATTAAAGTAGTGGGAGTCGAGCGGCGACACTGGTCCTAATAGAAAAATTGGAGCGAAGGCCTTTCCAACCTTAACTATCTATTCCGTAAATAAACTCACCCATAGCTTGTTATCGATGAAGTAAGCCTCGTGCAACTCAACGACGTTGGGGTGCCGACACTCGGACAGTATGTCTATCTCCACCGTGAAGTCGGCCAGGTCGTCTTCGTTGTCCAGGACGCACATCTTGGCAGCGGCCAGCTGACCGGTGGTCTTGTGCTGGGCCTTGTACACCTGGAGCGTTACACGGCGAAAGCGATTAGATCGAGAGACGAGAGACGGTACGATTCCTTGAAGTCGCCGTGGCCTAGTCCGTCCTAGACGTCCGGTGCATTCGTACGTAGCGATGCAACGGTGTTCGAATCTCAGGCGGGTACCAATTTTTCTAATGAAATACGTACTTAACAAATGTTAACTTTTGAATTCCACGATGAAGAAATAACATCGTGTAATAAAAATCAAACCCGCAAAATTATAATTTGCGTAATTACTGGTGGTAGGACCTCTTGTGAGTCCGCGCGGGTAGGTACCACCACCTTGCCTATTTCTGCCGTGAAGCAGTAATGCGTTTCGGTTTGAAGGGTGGGGCAGCCGTTGTAACTATACTGAGACCTTAGAATTGATACGTACGTTATAGATGTCTACTGGCACCGATAACCACTTAACACCTAAAAATTATGCATATGTGTGTGTGTGTGTGTGTGTGTGTGTGTGTGTGTGTGTGTGTGTGTGTGTGTGTTTGTTTGTTTGTGTGTTCAATCGATAGGTACACAGCGTGTCAATTGTTTCCTAATGATTCTTGTCCGCCTGATAATTGTCTGGAAGAGATCGCTCTTAGCAATAAGACCGCCCATTGTACTTTTTTGTACTTATGTAATGTTTCGCATTTATTATTTATTTTGTGTACAATAACGCATGCTCTCTCTTTCTCTCTCTCTCTCTTCTATGCCTAGACAGATGACGTGTGAATACGTACCTTGCCGAAAGCGCCGTCACCAAGCTCGCCGACCATATCCCAGATCTCGGTCGGGTCGCTGTTGTCGCGGATGTTGTTGAAGACCTTCTTCTTTTTCGCGTCATTTCCACCGCCGAGGTGCAGCACCTGGATTATACGAGACCAGGTTTTATGTTTTTTTTTTTTGCAATGGGTGGACTAGCTCACAGCCCACCTAGTGTTAAGTGGTTACTGGAGCCCATAGACATCTTCAACGTAAATGCGCCACACACCTTGAGATATACATTCTAACATCTCAAGTATAGTTACAACGGCTGCCCTACCCTTCAGACGGAAACGCATTACTGTTTCACGGCAGGTCTCACAAAAGGTCCTACCACCAGTGTTAGCGAGCGCGTCTTTCGTTCAGGACCGTAAGACCTCTTCAAAAACTGTTCATGTCCAGCAACTGTTAAGCACTGGACCTTACGACTCTTGTCTCAAGGTGGGGGCGCCATTAACATTGTTTGTTGTCTACGGGCCCTGGTAATCACTTAACACCAGGTGGGCCGTGAGTTCGTCCATCCATTTAACCAATAAAAAAGAGGCCACCAAACCGTGGTGTGTTTCCTTTTTTCTACCCTACCCTATTAGCTGATAGGGCTATTATTCCTGCTGAGCTCGATTAATCAAGAAACCCTGGCCACACGAAACGCCCAAAATCTCCTGCTGCAGAATAGAATTCCAGTTCGAAAGGCTGGGATTGCCGTTCCACTAGGTATTTCGTATCACTCTTGTCAGAGCGGTCGTGGTCGTCATCCAGCATCATTGCTTTTTTTTTTTTTTTATTGCTTAGATGTGTGGACGAGCTCACAGCCCACCTGGTGTTAAGTGGTTACTGGAGCCCATAGACATCCACAACGTAAAATTAAACGTAACATTGCTGTGGGCACATGCTATGCGGCTCACGTGCAATCGCCACTCGTCCCGGTTTGTGGTGAACCTGGTACGGTACACTCATGCAAACAGCCGCCAACTACCGACTTGATACGGTCGGTCCCTCGCATGGGCACAATTCCACGCGGTCTGGTGCCTTCTACTTTGTCCTGAACGACAAGGCGTTCTATGGAGTCACTAACGACTGAGAATTAGTCTTATACCAATGTGGGCGACAACATCCATACTGCGACATCTAAGGGCCCCGGCGACCGCATACCACCAGTCGTCAACAAAAGAAATAGCCAACGACAATCTTATCTTCCCTCCGTTACAGACTCATCTCTTGCAGACAGACGAGCACACGGCCCACCTGATGGCGAGTGGTTACCGTCGCCCATGGACCTCAGCAATGCCAGGGGCCGAGCCAAGCCGCTGCCAAAACATCACATACGACATCATCGTCATCATTACATACACATCAACGAATAGTTCATAGCGTGGCGGCGCCTTCTACGTCGCTTATTCAAAGTAAACTCACCTTTTTGAGATTATTTAAAAACGACATGTTAATGCGTTCGGCGCGTCCAACGACGCACCAATCTCTCAGCCGCCTTTAGGCATTGTATCTTTTTCTTTTCATATCTGTAATGAACAAAAAGAAAATCATTAAACAACGTTGTTTATCGAGCGCTATGACCGTGTGTACTTGCAAGCAAATTTTGCGTAGAGTGGTCCGCTCCTGGCATTGCTGAAGTTAATAAGCGACGGTGAATACTTCCCATCGGGTGGGTTGTATGCTCGTATGCCAACAAAGATAACAAGGAAATAATTACTGTAAAAATGACATGTGTGACAAATTAAGATAATAGTGCTATTATTTATATTTATACACTAGCGACCCGCCCTCGCTTCGCTTCGGAAACATTAAAACACACACGAAACCAAAAATATAAAAAAAAAAAAAAAAAAAAAAGTAGCCTATGTTCATCAGGGACAATGTCGGCTTCTAATGGAAAAAGAATTTTTCAAGTCGGTCCAGTAGTTTCGGAGCCTATTCGAAACAAACAAACAAACAAATCTTTCCTCTTTATAATATTAGTATAGATATTGAGAAGTGAAAGGCTATTCGGTTTAAGCGACATTAATTTTCCAACGTTAACAGAGCGCCATTTAAAGATTAAAATTTAAAAAATAAAACCAAAAAACTTTTTTAGCTATTTGGAATGCAGTAAACATAATGTAATATAATGAAAAAGTCCATTGCACTTTTAGCATTTGTGTTAATTTAATACAAATGGTTCTCTCTCTCTCTCGTTCTCCCTCTTCCACCCTATCTCTCTACTCTGCTCTGCTCTACTCTGTTTATCTCCTTATATCCCTCCTCTCCTGTTCAACCCTTTCGCTCATTCCTGAACGTCATAATTAAGTCGACCGATCCATCAAATTCAAAAATATACCAGATACGAACATGCGATATTACACATTAATTATTACACTTCATGTACCTATTCATGTACATTGGCTGACTTATTGCTTAAGGCCTTCTCAACAGGTCAGCCGAGGGTGACGTAATGAAATTCAGGGTACGTGCATTTGATAAATAGCTCGAACACAAGTGCACGTGCAAACGCATACTCCAGTATTACAAAAAAAACACATTCACAATGATACTGGTGGTAGGACGTCTTGTGAGTCCGCACGGGTAGGTACCACCGCACTGTCTATTTCTGCCGTGACGCAATGCGTTTCGGTTTGAAGGGTAGGGCAACCGTTGTAACTATACTGAGTTACTGGTGAACGAAAAATACATACATGTAGATCGACAGGTATAGCGCTATGACACGTCCTTCTTCAAACGAGGCTTGTGGAGAGTACGTAACGGTAGGCAGCGGCTTGGCTCTGCCCCTGACATTTCTGACGTCCATGAGCGACGGTAACCACTCATCATCAGGTGGGCCGTATGCTCGTCTTCCCACAAAGTCAATCAAAAAAAGCCAATCCACTAAGACAAAAGCCACTAAATCAAAAAAGCGAACCTTATAGAAAGTTCTAGTCCATAAAACCCCTTAATCTCAACCCAATGAATTGGGCATATTTTTTTTATTTATTGCCCTTGTAGGAAGACGTGCATACGGCCCACCTGATCGTATGTGGTTACAAGCAATGCCAGGGACACAGCCAAACCGCTGCCCACCGCTAATCTTATTACATTTAAATACAACACACACTTATAAATAAATAATAGTTAAAAAAAACTAAAAAAACACGCTTTATATAAAATTCAACCAAAAAATAGAAAATAAATTTTAATAAATTTAAATTGAAAATAATGTAAAAACAATACATTTTATTGTAAAAAAAGCGTGGGGTGCTTTTTAAGATATTATTGAAATAATAATTCTTCTACTCATATCTGTCAGAAAAATATTTATAACTAATAACACCATGCACCCCACGCTTTTATAAAGCGTGTTTTGTTAGTTTTTTAAACTATTATTTATTTTTAATTTTTTTTAAATATTGAATCGTCATCGGTCCTCAATAAATCTACAAAGTTTGAATGAAGTCTGGCCGTTTAAAGTGGGTCAAAATCGCGTCTAAGGGAGTCAGTTACAAACATACATACAAGTGAAGCTAATATAAAGCGTGTAAAAAAATACACATTCTTAATAAAATGAAACAAAAAATGTGGATTTCTGTTCCTCGTGAATATATAATATATATTTTGTATATTTTTATTGTGAACAGTTACAACGAGACACATAGAGCGAAGGCCGCTATCAAAATAGATGAGAAACTAGTTTTTCATAAAATAATTTTATCACGACAATAATAATTTAATTCATGTTTCTTTTCGTATCGATATTTTGTAGTGTTATTCGGCATACGGGTTCAAGGTTATTTTTTTAAATTTAAATGAATTAACATCGATCAAGGATACGAACCGCAAGGAGCATAAGCCGAACCAGGCATAGCGAACCTAAGAGATATCTCCCACCCGATGAGCATATGCTCTCATCTGCCTATTTTAAATTTATAATATGACTAGCTGACTCGGCAGACTTCGTAGCGCCTCAATCGATAAATAAAATACCTAAACTTTTGTATAAAATAAACTTAAGACAAATAAAAGGAATCCGTCCGACGGAGGACACATCAAAGGAAAAATAAAATTGTTTGTTNAGCGAACCTAAGAGATATCTCCCACCCGATGAGCATATGCTCTCATCTGCCTATTTTAAATTTATAATATGACTAGCTGACTCGGCAGACTTCGTAGCGCCTCAATCGATAAATAAAATACCTAAACTTTTGTATAAAATAAACTTAAGACAAATAAAAGGAATCCGTCCGACGGAGGACACATCAAAGGAAAAATAAAATTGTTTGTTTTTATATAATTCCGACCTTTTTTATATTTTCTCACCTTTTGAACCTTCCCTGGACTTCCACGAATAATTCAAGACTAAAATTAGCCAAATCGGTCCAGCCGTTCTCGAGTTTTAGCGAGACTAACGAACAGCAATTCATTTTTATATATAGAGATATAGATTTATTTTCTAATTTAGCTCTCCCATTGATTCTGCAATTTCTTTGCCAACCTAAGGTAACCAAAAAAGTCCTATTACCAAAAGTTTAATGTTTTCGGAAGCGCTGAGTATCGTCCCGATACCTCTCGCAAGAGACTACTTTAATTTTTCCCTACCTATTTGCTGGTAAGAGGCTATTTCAGCTACGCCCGGACGGGTTGGTGAGCTCACGGGGCTCATCCTGGCGAATTTGCTAACACGAACCCTAGCAAGAGCCGTGCTTCGCTGAATCTACCACCGGATCGGAATCGCCACCCACTGAGAAGATCCGGCAAGAAACTCTGTGGGCTGTGTCTATGGGTTAATTCGCTCGTCGAGCCCTTCGTCGGAAGCGACGGGTTCGACGAGGACGATGACCGGTTAGTATGGAGATATCGAGGTTTGAATTTACTTCTACACTGCTTTGTAGGCAAAAACAATACGCGCAAAAATAATGTTTACAAAGTCATCTGTTATCTATAGCTGAAACTAGGGATAGGCCGGTTTTGCGTCAAAATTTATTTTGTTTCAAAGCAAATTGCAATTTAGAACCGCCAATTTTGAAAAATTGCGCATTAGGCCACTTTTACGCTGATGGCCTCAAATAGCCTCTTAAGTAACCAGAGAAAAATACGACCTAGTGCAATAAAGCAATAAGAATTGCTCAAACGAAAATCGTACGATAATAAAAAAATATTTCACATAAATTTATTTATACATAAAACAAAACACGGGTTCGACACGTCCGTATGTTAAACAAGTAATACATATTTCCAAACATTATTATTTCACCTCATTAGGCCGAGACCTTGGTGTGGTGATAACGACGAACCACAAGCAAATCCAATCCTTATGGAGAACATGAATAATGACAAATTTGAGTGAACTGAATTGAGTCGCGCACAAGTGACAAAGTAACCTATTTCATGAAATCGCAAATAAAATACAGTTTAAGCTTAAACATCTTACATTTTGAGGTAGGTTTTATGCGCAGGCGTGTTCGCGGTTCGCCCGGTGTTAATATCTTCTTGCGGCCCATAGACATCAGAAATGTCTCTTAATCATCGAGTGGTGAAAGGCTATTTGGTTTAAGCGACATTTATCTTGTTTTTTTATTGCTTCGTTGGGTGGACCAGCTCACAGCCCACCTAGTGTTAAGTGGTTACCGGAGACCATAGACGTCTACAACGTAAATGCGCCACTCACCTTGAGATATAAGTTCTAAAGTCTCAGTATAGTTACAACGGCTGCCCCACACCCTTCAAACCGAAACGCATTGCTGCTTCACGGCAGAAATAGGCAGGGTGGTGGTACCTACCTACCCGTGCGGTCTCACACCTCCCACCAGTAATTAAAGATCCGTTTTATTTGGTATTACCATCAACAATTCGATGTTTCTAATTGATCTTCAATTATGTTTCAAACATCAATCAAACAGCCGAAGAAGGGTTTTTTTAATCCAAAATTTAAACTTTAAATGGTTCTCCTGTAAAGTCGCAAAAATGTCGTTTAAACCAAATAGGCTTTCACTCCTCGATATGTCGCCAGCTATCCATCTATTCTTCCTTTCAGAGCAGAACATTTGCGAGTAAGTGACAAAGAGAAGATCATCAACCGAGCTGGTGAAATTGCTCCATAGACCGACGGTCCAAATGGGTTTTTTTTCTACCTAAACTGATGGTCTAGCTAGAGAGACCATATCAGCGTAACCTAACTAGTAGGTGAGCTCACGGGGCTCAAACCTTACGACGTTGCTAACACGAACCCTAGCAAGAGCCGTGCTTCGCAGAATCTACCACCGGATCGGAAACGCGACCCACTGAGAAGATCCGGCGAGAAACTCAGTGGGCTGTGTCTGTGAGCTAATTTTCTTGCCGAGCCCTTCGTCGCAAGCGACGGGTTCGACGAGGACGATGACTTGCCAAATCGTATTGTTCGGAAATTTTATACATGTAAACTTAACTTGAGACTGTCGTTAGAGAGTCAGGCATCTGTCAAATATCTTGTGTGACATGACGGCTGCCGACACAAAGACACTTCGCGGCACTAATGAGCTTTAGAATACGCGAGCTT